CTGCCGCCTGAAACTTCCTGAGCCCATTCTGCCTCCACCTCCAGATCACAGCTGGGCTGGACCCAGTGGGGAGAATCCAGATGAGGACACGGAGGACCCTCCGTGGGCACCTGGCAAAAATCTACGCCATGCACTGGGGGACAGACTCAAGGTGGGTGCGGCTGGGGCTGTGTGCTGAGCTGTCGTGTTTGCCTTGGGCTGAGTTTATGGCAGGCAGGGTGGGCAGGGGTAACCTTGCACGTCTGGTGCCAGAAACAGGATGCCCCTGTTGCCAAGTCTGTTTGGGAAGCCCATGACTCCCAGACATCCCCAGGGGATGGGAAACAGGGCCATACTGACAGGAAATTCTCAGCTGCTGCCAGGAGTTTTCTCCCACCAGATGGGAGAGGGGGAAGGGTGTCCTGCCTCCAGAGGGGCCTTCCCACCCTGACCCCTCTGCGTCTCCATCCACTCTCCGACAGGCTGCTGGTCAGTGCCTCCCAGGACGGGAAGCTCATCATCTGGGACAGCTACACCACCAACAAGGTAGAGGTGGCACCTGAGGCCGGATGGGGCTGGGCTGCAGGCCCTGGCTGGCTCTGACCCTGGGCACTGCCCCTCGTCCATAGGTCCATGCCATCCCGCTGCGCTCCTCCTGGGTCATGACCTGTGCCTACGCGCCCTCAGGAAACTTTGTGGCCTGTGGGGGATTGGACAACATCTGCTCCATCTACAGCCTCAAGACCCGTGAGGGCAATGTCAGGGTCAGCCGGGAGCTGCCTGGCCACACTGGTGAGAGGCGCGTGACAAGGCACAGGCACTGTTGTGGGGTGAGGGGCTGCGCTGCCCTCCCTTAAAGACCCGGCTGACCAGCCCCTTTCCCCAGGGTACCTGTCATGCTGCCGCTTCCTGGATGACAACCAAATCATCACCAGCTCTGGGGACACCACCTGGTGAGGCCCTGCCAGGGCTAGGCAGTCGGGACTCACCTACACTTCCTGCTGGGGGAGGGAGCACCGCCTCAGTGCTCAGGCGCTAGTCCCCACCCTGCGCAAGCACCGGCAGAGCCCTTGTTCTGAACACTCAGCCTTTTGCTCTGGTGGCAGGAAGGAGGGGGAAGTGGGGGACCCCTTCTCACCTGGGACAGGAGCAGGTTTCTGTCACCCAGTGGCTCCCGGTGCCCCTTGTGTGGAGGCTTCACTGGGCCTGGGCTCACAGGCTGGAGGGGTCGGGGAGAGGGAGTCCGTCCTGCACCCGTCTCTGATCCATTCTTTCTTCCTGTCACCCCTCCAGTGCCCTGTGGGACATTGAGACAGGCCAGCAGACGGTGGGTTTTGCTGGACACAGTGGGGATGTGATGTCCCTGTCACTGGCCCCCGATGGCCGCACCTTTGTGTCAGGTGCCTGTGATGCCTCCATCAAGCTGTGGGACGTGCGGGATTCGATGTGCCGACAGACCTTCATCGGCCACGAGTCCGACATCAATGCCGTGGCTGTAAGCGCTGGGGCGAGCTGGGCTGGCCCATCTTTGCCGAGCTCCAGGCCCTGCCCTGAACCCTCATCCCACTCTGGTCTTGTGTCCTGCAGTTCTTCCCCAACGGCTACGCCTTCACCACGGGCTCTGACGACGCCACGTGCCGCCTCTTTGACCTGCGGGCCGACCAGGAGCTCCTCATGTATTCCCATGACAACATCATCTGCGGCATCACCTCTGTTGCCTTCTCGCGCAGCGGCAGGCTGTTGCTCGCTGGCTACGACGACTTCAATTGCAACATCTGGGATGCCATGAAGGGCGACCGTGCAGGTGAGAGCTGGGAGCTGAGCAGGGGGTGGGCGGGGACAGGGAAACGAGGCTGGAGTTTTGACGTCCCCCTCCGCCCCAGGTGTCCTCGCAGGCCACGACAACCGAGTGAGCTGCCTTGGGGTCACTGACGATGGCATGGCTGTGGCCACAGGCTCCTGGGACTCCTTCCTCAAGATCTGGAACTAACAGCCCCGACCCCAGCTGGGCCCAGGCTAGGAGGGGCCCTGCCCATGCCCACACTACAGGTCGGGAGCTCTGGGGCTGGGTGCACACCGAGCCTCCCTCCTTGGGCCACGGGGCCTCGGGTCCCTGCTCCCCTACCCAGGTTTGGTTCCTCCCGGGGCCCCCACTGTGGAGATTAAGATGGGAATAGAATGGGGGAAGAGGAGGGGCAGAAAGCCCTCATCCTTTTGCTGCCCTGGGGTCAGGGCCTCATCCCTCTGGAGGGCCAGAGGCAGGAGGTGGAAACTCCAGGGGCTGGCTTTTTTAAAACTGGTTTTATTTTAATTTTTATTATATTTTCAGTTTTTCCATAAAGGAACCAATTCCAACTCTGTACCTGGTCTCTACCCTTGCTCGTGTCTTCCTCGCTCTAGGTATCTGTCCCCAGCGGCAGACTGGCTGGGGGGACATGGGGCTCCAAGTAGTGGGGTGGGGACTACCACTCCTCCTCGGCCGGAAGCGGAGTCACAGGTGGGAGGACCTTCTCTGGCCCGCAGATCACAGGTGTTCCACACACACAGCCCTCCCATTTCTAGTCTTGGCCTGGTTAGGCTGGCCGACCACAGCGGCCCTTTGCCTGTGGCTCTTTCAGTTCCCAGCTCTTTTGAGCTGTGCCTCTCGTTCCCAACATCCCCTTACCCCAAGAAACAACTCAGACGCAGGAGGGGAGAACACACACCAAGTTTTATTGGGGGGAAGCGGGGTATTTACAGAGGCAGGTAGACGAGAAGGGAGTCACACAGGTTGGGGAGATGGTGGGTACAAGGCAGACAAGGATACAGAATGACCCCTGCACCCACCCTAACCCCAGGAAGGGCGGGGGAGCAGCCGGGGCCCAGGAAGACGGGCTGGGAAAGGACAGCAAGGGGCCTGAGTCCCTGGGCTGGGGGGCTCAGGGGCTTGTAAACATTGACCACTCTCAGAAGGGGATAGGGGTGGGAGAGGGCTCCCCCTACACTTCCTCACAGGGTTAAGGCCTCTCCAGGCTCAAGGGCCCCCTAAATTCAAAGTCTCTTTAGCTGGGGGGGAGGGGAAGGAAGAGACGGGGAAGAGTGTCATCCCCCCTCCCCCTGCATTGGCTGCGGCAGGGGTGGGGGCAGTTACATTCAGTCACAACAGTACTCCCCCAACACCTCTAATGCCACCAAATACTGGCTCGAGGAAAGGGGGAGCTGGGGGGCCAGCAGCAGCAAGACATTTCCCCCTGGCCCATCACCCCCTTATTGCTTTAGAGAGAATATTGTCTTTTCACGGACTCTAACACTGTTGAAACCAGGGAGAAGCAGGTGGAGGGGGCCCCTCCACCCCCGAGGCCAGCTTTATCCCCCAACACTGACCCAGTTGCCACTTTGGTGCAAAAAAAAAAAAAAAAAAAAAAAAAAAAAAA